GTGGATGGCCCCCATCAATCTCCCTCTTTTTGATTGATTTTTTCTTGTTTTTCCATTCTCCTTTTTTGATATTTCTATACATACTCCATTAAATTGTTGTAAAACAGGGATAATCAAAAGGAAAAAAGAAAGATAAAAAAGGGAGGTCAATGGAAAGGACCAACGACAGTATGGAGAACAGACGACTAAGGGTTGCTGAGGGGGAGTGATATCGTTGGGTGCGAGAGGTTTGAGTATCATTTAAGAACGATAAAACCTTCATAGCCAATTACAAATAATTTCTTTTTGGATTAAATTAATATAGATAATTGGTTTTTAAAAATTCAATGGTTTATTTAAAAAAAAGATTAATAGCCACTACAAAACAAAGGACTATCATGGACGGAAAATTTTGTCAGTAATCCGTCGTTAAAGTCGGATCCGTCAGTAAATCATTGGTGAACTCTGTTCGGTAAAAAAGTCATGGGAGAAGGCATCACCCATGGATCATCGATGGATTACTGACTGCCTCCAATTCCGACTAATTACCGACAGATATAGTTAGCAACGGATTACTGACAACCATTATTACCGATGGATACTTTTAGAGACGGAAAGTGTTATCGACGGATCAACAATGAAAGGATTACCAACGAAATAAAAAAAATAAATAAAAATAGTTACAGACGGATTTTCCACAGCTAATCCGTCGCCAATTTTTTTAAATAATTCAAAAAAACATTTCCTATCAAATAACCTACGATTTTTAAAACAAATTGCAAAATTAAAACGAGACTGCTTGGGCAATAAAAATCTAAATTATATTACAAAATATCCCAAATTCAGATACAAAATGTTCTAACAGATCTTAAGACTAGGAAGGAGGGGGAGGTTTTATAGTCTGGTCTTGGACCATGAATGCCTTGAACTACTTGGTCAACTCCTTTTGCTGATGTATCTCCTCTACTTGCGGAGCAAACTGATCTGTTTGGGCCTTCTGTACACGTTCCAAATCTTCCCTCTTTCTATGTTCTTCCACCACTTTCTCTTTCAGCGCCTCTACCTGAAATTATTCAATACAGAACAATGTTAGAAGATAAATGATAAAAAAACATTATACATATATTACAACTATATGAAACATATGTCCTCATTGCGAAAACCATACGTGTGAGGGGTGTAGGGTCCAACGCCACTACTGGTTGTACTTTGAGCGCAAAATCTGTAAGCGGGGTGTAGGGTCCAACGCCACCATCGGTTGTTTCAGCGTAGTATAAAAATTGTACGGTCCTCAACGGTGTTAGCATTGTGTTTCGTATAGTGCTACCATTCGTAATAAAAACTAAAGAGTATCGATTGAAATTCATAACACGTCACAAAAAATTGGAATTAAGGGAGTCACAATGATGCTTAAAAACACATTGGCGATTCGTTTGACCCAAAACCCACACCACATCCAATCGCCTTTCAATTGCTTCATTGTCATTCACTCTCTCGTTCGTCTCTCAAAACTAAAAACCCTAAATTGTCTCTCGATCGGTCCACGAAAGTCGTTCCCTGCTCAACGATGAGTTTATGAACGTTTCAGTCATTTGTGACGGAGTAAAAGAAGCATTTGTAAAAGTTACAGATGAAGATGTTCATAATCATTTCCAAAGAGATGATGGCTCGTAAAAGGCAATTTGTTTATCATTTTTCATAAAACCGTACTTTCATAATTGAATTTTGTTTATTTTGTATTATACCGATTATATTTGTGTTACCATTTAAAAAATTTGGATCCACCTTTACGCTTATCTAATCTCAAACTCGATAAATGTTAATTCATATCAAACTCAAAAAATTGTTTTTTTATTGAATCTAATGATAACTAGAAATAGCAGAAAATGGGCCAGCTCATCCCGACCAAAAATCCTAGGAATGATCTTGGATCTGGTTTATAAATTTAAAAATCTTGTAGTATAAATAATAAAAACTTATATATATATTTTTAAAATCGATCCTAAAAATAACTGGTCTCGTATCAGACTACGGATCGAACTGAGCCAAGCCTTGAATTTCTGTAAAATTTGTAATTGACACCGACTATCGGGTTATAACCGATCCCTAATAACCTCAGGGGCTGTTTGGCAATTGCTAAATGGTTTGATGCAGAATGATTAAGTGGTCAGAATGATTAAGAGGCTCTATGATATAGTGCAAAATGAAATATAATTGTTTGATAATTGTGTACAATGAAATTAGGGCTCTTAATGGTTAAGGGAAATCCATGATACAAAATCATTCAGAGGGTTTTAGAACTATTAAGAGACATATTTTTTATTGCCAAACAAGATTCATCTCTTAAAAATTCAGATATTGGTTCTTAATAAAACTATTAAAAAGTAAACAAACAGCCCCTCAATCTATCCTGGACTGAAAGGGTCCAAATTTGGCTCTAACACTTCCATTAAGCAGCCTACTTATTGGCTATCGCCATGGCTGATTGGAGAGCCTTTCACGGATTTAATGGGCTATTTTTGGTTCAGCCCACAACTCCACAAGTCCAACTGTCCAACCCTAATCGGTAAAATCGTAAACCATCAAGGGTATAATTGTCATTTAATTTCACAGTCATCCTATAAAACCTAAAGCGCTTTGCCCCTTCTATCCATTCCTCGGCCATCTTCTCCAAAGTAGGGTTTACATAAATCTAGGGTTTCGATCTGTCATCGGTAACTCTACGATCGCCATCGAAACCATGATTTGAAGGTAATAGGAAGGAAAGGAGGGGGAAACAGAGTAATCATGTGTTCCTTCCCTTTCCTTTCTTTTCTTTTCTTCCCAAATTTCAGATCCAGAACAGAGTGTAACTGTTCTTTTACGATCGATTTGTATTTGTATGAATTTGTTCATGCGCAGCCCTTAAGATCGCCTTCCAATTTGCAAAATGGAAGCGTTTTGAGTCATAGCCGCGCTACATTAAATCTGATACGTACTTGTATGTATCTGTCGTAAGTTTCTCTCTAGGGTTTTCCTTTTGAGAATCTTCTTTCTCCCTCATGAATCTGTTGACTCGAGGTAATTTCTCTGTTCTTTGAATCTATAACGTTTTTAATTTTCTTCAACACTGATTTGATGATTTATCATCGTTTCGGTGTTTTAGATTGTTATGGAGTTTAGATTTCAAAGTGTTTTCTCGGTGCCTCGCTTTTTCTTGTGGGAAACATAATTGATTTTACATTTTTAACAAACTATTGTTGATTATATTCTGTTAACTATGGTTTTCATTTTTCTAAAACAATTACAAGTCAAATTCATTTTTATTGCGATTGGTGGATGGCAAGAATGATGAGAAAATTTGATTATGGGAAAGGATTGATTCCTTGGTGAATTTAACCATTAATGCTTATTGATATTCTGACTTGCTATTCCATACTCAATATTTTAATCAGTTAACCATCATCGTAGTTAAAAAAACTCAGTGATGCTCGATTTTGTTTCGGATTTTCTTTGAACAGTTTTATTGTCTTGTTAAAGTAGATTATGTAAATTTTGGTTCTGCATGTCAGATTTTGAATTTTGACGAACGAAACGTATTTAATTTTGAACAGTTTTATTGTCTTGTTATCTAATGCTACTAAATCTCCACCAGACAGCTTTGAACCAACTTGATTTTGTTATGGAGGTAAAATCAGGTACCTTTACAACAATATATGACACACCTCAATCGAATCAACGAATGATTTTATATAAATTATTAAATAACCAGCGGTACTATGATTTCTATGCATCGCAGCTCGAAACGGTCCCATTTGACACTAAACCATCAAGAATCAATTATCTAACTTTACCATATTATCACAGCTCAAAACGGTCCCGTTTGACACTAAAACCATCAAGAATCAATTATCTAAC